TACCTCTTTATTTTTTATTACTGGACACAGCAGGAAATGGCGTATCCAGATTTTTTTTCATGAGGGGTTATAATTCATTTTTGACGAATTTTATCTGAAAATAATTTATCAACGATAACGTTGTTATCCCCCTTCCCTGGATACGCCACTTTTAGTAGGTATATGTATTATATTAGTTAGGTAATAATTATTTTTGTACCTATTGATTAATTAATTAAATATAGATAGGAGTTTGTAAAAATGTAAAATACTCGTGTCACAAGATTAAAAATGAAAAAAAATCTATGAAATATAAGTATTTACTTAATTATTATTTATTACCAGTTATCTACATTATGATATACATGTAGAATACTAGGATCAACCAAATGTTTGCATTTAAATTTTAATCATATAAGTTGATTCTTCAAAGTTGTACAATGATTTACGAGAAATGTGCTGACATGAAAAAAATCGATAAATATAGTTAGGAAAGTTAAATACTACATACTACCATTGATTATAAATACTCTACTAGTATTTATAATCAATGATACTACATAGTATAGTAAATTTAATGGAATTTTAACTTTTAAGGTACCCTCCATATTAATATGTAGTTGAATCATATATATATTCTATTATAAATATTATAAAAAAAATTAACGTGACTAAATGAAACAATTATTTTCGTAATGGTAGGGTATTTTAATAGGTTAATGCGAAGGGAAGGTAATATACTTTCCAATTTTATTTACTTTCTAAGAAAAGACAATTTATTATTGTTTTTAGTTTTTTAGTTTTGCAATATTTTTGATGATATTTTCAGTACTAACTATCAATAATTTTTTTTTAATTTTAACTTAAAAAAAATAATAAAATACACATATTTTATTATTTTAATTTTTTTTAACGTACCTATTACCTATACCTGATACAAAGGTTACTGGTGATGTTAGGTTGATTAGGTATGTTTATTGTTTCGACCATTTTATAGTTGGTATAGGTACTGGGTACCTATAGTTATTAATTATAATATTATATACATCCATTTAAAAGTAATTGTAAATGTTCCTAAGTAGTTATGCAGATTGCGAAGTAGGTATTCCCTGCAAAGTGCATAATATGTGTAAAGTGTAATAAAGTAGATAGGTACCTAGTACGTAAACTGTATATAGTTACTAGTAAGGTAGGTTAATAAATTTAAATAAGGCACTAAAATTTCCCAGAATTATTGATCGATATCGTATGGAGCAATCATTAATAGGCAATTAAAGTTGGGTGGAACTACATTAGTTTTTAAATTATTGGAACCAGTTACTTTCTTTGGATATTAGTAAAACAAGTCTTATCGAGTCTGTATTCATGCGTGCATTTAGCATTTAAGTACAGTAATCTTAACTTATAATTATAACCTACCCATAGCCCATAGGCTTTGATATTTAATAGTAATTACAATGACTAATGACGGATATAAACAACAGAGGCGTGTTCGTCGCATTTTAAAGTTGTTATTGGCACTTTTACATCTTTTAATTTAATACACTTATGAATTCAGACAGTTATTTATTGATCTTATAATTTATGCAGTTAATATGATATAGGTAACTAATATTGTTGAGAAGTCTTCACAATGCATAGGTATTCCCTAATAATTATTTACTCTGCGGTAGACATTTGTTCATATAATGAGTGTAACATTGTAGGCAGTTACAAGTTATAGTCAGTTACAAGTTATAGTCTCAAAAAAGTTACATTAAATATTATTATACAATAAAATATGATCTACAACACTAATTTAAATATATATGATTATTTTTTTTATTTATCTCCTTGGCACGATCACGTGACTTTTAGATCAAGGTTGCAGTCGTAGTGCAATTACAATAAATCCTAAATAACGGTAGTATAGAGGCACCTAAATAGTACGATTATAATGAGGAACCTGTGAGGCTGTGAATATACATTGAACAAGAACATTGATGATTGATATAGTGCATCTTACCTTGACGCGAATTTGGGAAACGGGCAAAGTCTTTCGTTGGGTGGTGGTAAACTCTCCCGATTTTCAAAACTAGTTAACTCTCTCGATGGAAAACTCTCCCGGGTCAATATCATGTTATTATGTTTACCTGATGGAAATGTGTAAACTCTCCCGAGTTGTTTTAAATTATGTTGCTACACTATGAATTAGCTGTGGATTTCTGTATTAATGAATCATCATCAACTTCAGTCTTAAAAAAACAAACGCTTGTAAAGATTTTCAAACTGATGTATACATAAAAATTCAAAGTTACAACAAACAAAATAAAATAAGTAAAAACTCTCATAGGTACCAAAAATAAAGAAATATCATATCACAAAAAATAATAGACTATTATGTAAATAGTAAATAGGTACCAACAAATATATACGTACCTATTTAGTTGTTTAAATTCTCTATGTCCGTATTATCATACACAGTATTCTTTTGTGTTTCTTACGATAATATTATAGTTCAGTAGGTCACAGCAGCTAAAGGCATTGATTTGTATTTATTATTATATAATAGACTTTTAGATTCTGAGCGAAGCGAGGAAGCTAGTGGTTTTACAATGGTATTTATTTTATTTTATTTTTATTTTTATCCTGTATACAAAATTTCTACCAGAAGTAGTGCTTCGATTTCAACATAATATAGTACCTTATCTTTTAGAAAATTGGATCAAGATGGTACTTTAGAGAGGTCATTTTTCGATTTTCTCAATAGTTATTTAATACCACGGGAAAAACTACTGACAAATTACGAAAAACCGCTTAAAATCTGATTTTAATTTCTAACGATTTGTTTATCACCGTAGCAACGAATAAAAAATTATAAATTATAACATTATAATATTAATTCAACTTAAAGACTATAATAAACTTATAGACTATAATAAATAATACAAATTTAAAAAATCCAGACCGATAAACCGTCTCCGTTCAGAATCGTTTTTCTTATAGATACAATGATATTATATCATTGAATTCAAGTTTAATACAACCATTATACATTGACCCACTTGTAATCTTCTGTACAGCAGAGCGACATCCACTTACCTGCTTTTTTTAAAATAAATTTTAAAAGTATACTTGATTTATTTTATGATTTTTCATTTTATTTGTATTTTTGCTAAAGCCGTTGATTTTTATTATTATGTAATTTACTTTTTTTAAATTAAATTTAGCATTACTGAACTGGACCCGGGAGAGTTTACATGCTACTATTAGGTAGTACTGAAGTAAACCCAAGAGAGATTTCATGTTCCCGTCATGTAGTACTGGAGTAGATCCGGGAGAGTTTACAATCGCCCGTTTCGTTGAAATGTCGAAACATCCTATCGGGAACGTCGACACGAAAACGGTTATTTGATCGAGAATCGGACAGCGTACAACTGACTGATGCAGAAAAAAAAACTGGTGGGCTGCTATAGTTTTCCATCAAGATTCTGCAAGACTGACCCACGAAAAATGTCACGGTTAGTGTCCCCTTACGAGTAAATCATATCATAATATGGATGGTGTTGACCAGGTGACCGCAGGTACGTCTTAAATCCATAACGTCACTGGAGACAAAATTCTGGAGGATCAAAAAATAATTATCGCCAAAAATGTCTGTTTAGTTAGATTTTTCCGGGTTGGCAAATGTGCCCATCTCGATATCCATTTTATTTTTTTCTATATAAATTCCTCTTTTAAGAATTGAAAATATAGCTATTTATTGGCATTTGAAATATTATAATATTATAATATATATTATATGGAAATATTTTTATAATAAGAATGAAAAAATGTCATTTTAAAAAAAAAAAATTAGTTTTATAGTGGTTTTGTTAAATGTCGGTATCACTTTATGTTTTTTTTTTAGGTACAGCCTCAGGTGATTCCTATCAGACTACAGGATTTTCATTTCGTGTTGGACTGTAGGCATACTATAATGAAAGAAGTCTCAAGTCTGTACAGTAATTTGGAGTATGTCTTACAACCCACGTGTATGCCTAATCTACTGAAGAAACTTCGAAAAACTCCGAGGTCGGTTACAAAGAAATAGGGAATTTTCCCAATTGTGTAGGTAGCATTCATATGCGTGCGCAGACTCCTATTTCAGGTGTGGCTTTAATTTTTTTTTGATCACCCACCCCCTTATAAAATCTCGTCTTAAAAAAAAATAATAATAAAATAGATATACAAAACATAGGTAAGTAGAAATAACATTTATTATAAAAACTGATGTACACTAAAACTAGTACAAACATTGTATGAGTTAACCCTTTAGTGGGCACAGGAAAAAAAGTTAATTTATTTGTACCAAATTTTTGTATCCAATTGTTGATTATTTTATTATTTCATTACCTTCATAAACATTAAAAACAAATCATTGATTTTGATGTCATAACATATTAAACTTTTACCTGATAACGCTGCTCGATCGTCACAAAAATCATTAATTACTAATTACCACAACAGCTCTAGAAGTATGTCCATCACGGTTTTTAGGCTCAACATTGAGCTCATTGTCTAAAAAAAAAAATAATTACTCTAAATTGATATTCTAAAATTATTTTTTGGCTATGTGTTTATTAGTTTAATATTATTTTAAATCATATAAAATGCAAGTTATAAAATATTTTTTTAAAGTTGAGAAAAATATTATTTTACCTGTTAATACACCTTCTCTAATGAATAAATCAGTGTTCATGCCAACACCAGTTTCATTAGAACTTTGTTCATCGCACCTTTTAGGCTCAACAACAAAGTGCTGTTCTACATAAAGATAATAAGATTATATCCTAATTATTATAATTTATATTCATTGTACATATGTACCTGTAAGTTTATTGTACAATTGGGCCACTTACTGTAGTAAAATTAAAATACAAACTTAGTATGCACTTACCATTAAACGTTGACATATTATTTTGTAACATTGGTTTAGGGGAAAAAAATGATTTGATTGATGCATTGTTCTTTTTATTTTTTTTTTAACAGAGCATGATTTTATGTGCCGTTGCCAGTTAACATCGTTAAGATTGGATCTAGCTTTGCCACAAAGGCACAATTCTTCACTTGGAGAAGACATTTCATTTAAATTTTTAATAATGAACTTACCGCAAAAGAAATACAATTTTAAACAAATAAGTTAGCATAAACAACTTACAACGGGTTGGGGGCAGTTGTCCGAAAGATTACCACAAGGCCATACCAGCTGTACGGTTAATAGATATTATACCAGCTGCATATATCCGTATAACCACTCTTATCATCCGTACATTTTATTAAACCACGAACTAATAGATATCTTAGTCCGTGTGCATAACATAATTCTTCTATTGCATAATTATTCTATCTATGGCAATAATATATTTATTATCATGACTCATGAGTACCAGTCCCGACAATTTTTATGGTAAAATTGATGAAAAAATCTAAATTTCCAAAAAAGTGAGTTATTGGTACTTTTTAACTAAGTACTTAGTACCTACCTAAATAAAAAGTTTCAGGTGTGGCTATAGCCCTATAAGCCACACCCGTGCGCACGCCTATGGTAGCATTGACGGTTAGGAGTTAAGACTGGCCTAGTGACGCCTGTATGCACTAAACCGATCATTTTACGTCAGTGATCATTTTTTCCGCGTCTGCCGCGCAGCGCTGTCTGTTTTTTTGCGATTCTCGATCAAATCAAATCGTTTTACTCATCATCGCGTAATCTGTTTTAATTATTATTTATTGTATATTAGAGTAATATATCAATATTAAATATTTATCAATATGTACGCGCAGTGCGAACAAATTTCAGCAGAACGAGTATTTAATCAATATATATATTAATGTGTTAAGTACCTATAAAGGTACTCGCCCTAGCACTGTTTGTTCGATTTTGGTGGGATCTATGTTATAAAAAGTATAATTTAAGCATTAAAAGGTATTGATCGTACTTTAAAAATCATTCCCCATATGTATGGGGATAGGCTTATTATACGCCTGCCACCTGGTATAATAATAATATAATATAATATATATTATACATATAGGTAGGTTAGATTGAGTACTTACAGTAACCACAGTAACATCACTAACATTCAAGTTAAAATTAATTGTATTCCTGCAGCTGGCTACAATTATTGCGCATCCTATATAACTAAATACGTAAAATAAATTCAACAAAAGAAAATAAACTAAATTTCAATAAGAAATAGCAATTGATATAGGTAACTTAGAAAGTGTAGAAATTAGAAATAATAAAATGTAAATAAATTAAGTGTCCGATAAGTAGGTAGGTAGGTAAAGCCTGTAAAAGATTATTGTAAACAAAAATCTCAAATCATAATTTATAATGGTTAAATAATTATTTTATTGTACTATTGTAGATAGGTAGGTATTATAATATTAATATTAATACAGAAAAGTAGGTACTTATGTCCATATAAAAAATAAATAAATATTCTCCCCCCTGATAGTCGCCATTGATTTAATTCAAAATTGTTTGAACGATAGTCGATAATTTTAATCGTAAATATTAAATAGATAATTATTATTTCTCGTATGGTTTAATCCAACACTAAGTAACGGTATTAAAACTAGTTAATACTATAGCAACAACAATTAATATTACAATAAGAAATATAAATATACAATTTTGATAAAATGTAGAAACATAAAATAGTAGTAATTAGTTAATTTAGATAAAAGTAACAACAACAAATAGTTAATGATACCTCATTAGCCATTGAAGGCAATAATCTTTTACGGTGTGCTCGGAAAACGATCCTTCCCAGCACTACATAGAGACTGTTACAATTTAGCGTAAATATTATTTCTATGGCAGATTGAAATTAGTAGTTTGGGTGTTCGTAGTTTTAATATAATAATATATAGGTACCACGCAGTAAGCTTCACAAGTTGGTTTTTAAACACATATTGAAATAAAACGTTATTATAGTAAGACTTATCTTTGATAGGTAGTTTAGAGTTTTTTTTCTCTCTTTTGGAGTATACTCGTATATGGTATACTTATATCCTATGACCTATGTATAACTAATTCAGCATGATTGTATGACTAAGTGACAGTTAATATATTTTTCAGTCGCAATCACCATCGATTATATACACAATTCAATTCATAATATAATATTCATTTATAATAATTTCATACAAATATTTAAATACATGAAACATAGGTATTATATAACTGTACTATTGCATTATTACATTGATAAATATTTTAAAGATTTGACATTGCAGAAGTCACAACGAAGTGCAAACATTAAGAAAAGTTTACTAACTATTTGGTCTAAACAATAGAATACTAGAAGTTCAAGAGTAAATAATCTATTTAAAAAATGTATGTAACTATGTAAGTACCTACTTTTAATTTTCGGCATTTCGGCACATGCAGAGTTTAAAATAATAATTAATAATTAAATAAATATTAATATCTAACAGTAATTTATTATATTAAGTACCTATCACCATTGATTATTAATATACTAATGACTAAATAGTATTTATAATCAACGATATAATAGTGGAGTTATCGTTTGTATATTATGTTATTATAATGAAAATCAGGAAAAAGAAATAGTAAATAAACTTAATAAACTTATGAGTTATGACATACGTATAATTATTATGAAATGCTGTACATTTTTTTGAAAAAATTACAGTTTTATTAGCAAAATATATACAAACGGCTTCGCAGTTCGCGGAATTGTATAGGAGTCACCGCGAAACAACGGGATAAAAAAATAAAACGTTTACGTAGTAATTTTTTTAGACTATATTCGTATGATTTCGGAGGAGAACCGCAGCGTAAAAACACTAAAAACTGTCACTCATTACTCATATACACAGAAAATAATGTGTATATACAAGAATATTAAATATAATATGTAAACACGCGTACAACACGGTGGGCGTCCCGGACAGTGTCGTTATAGTAATGAGCAGTGTACACATAATAATATGATGCATACGTATGGATGATAATAATATAATATAAAAAATATTTAATATCATACTTCACGTCGAAAATCGTATGGCAAAATATTACATTATGACGTGTCGTGTCCGTACAAATATTATTAAGCAGTACTTACAGGACCCAGACCTTATCGTTGTCTCGTCCGCCGCCGCCTTCACACTACCCGTCCCTAAATATGTCCCTTCATGTCAGTCACGTGACAGCAATCCGCCGTGTTTGTTGTATACCGGCAGAATTTTTTTCCGTGCCACCATCCGCGTGAGAATTTTGCTTAATGTTATAATTTATTATTTTATTGTTGAGATACGAAGCGCATGCGATACGCACGAAACGACGTGTGGCAGAAATCAATCGGTGTTATAATAAATTATAATACCTATACGTCCTACATAGTACATAACATGTGGCTAATGGCTCTATGTGTAATCCTCAAAAATTAAAAACGCCCGTTGCGTGTGGTCGTGGCGGGAAAGAACAGACATTGCGTATATTTTTTTACTCGGTTTATGTGTATCGTCGTAACGGTTAATCGTCGGTGGCGCCGCTCGAGTATTCATTCGAATAATATGTTATGCAATCATGATAATAATAATAATACAAAGTTATTTTATATATTTATATGGTTTTGTACTTGAGCAGTTGCGTCCCTGAAAAAATAAAATATGCCTTGACTTTCGTAGTGTCGTGTATCGTATAATACAACGCTTGAACACGATCATTTTCGGTACCTACCTACGTATTATATACCATATAGGCAGGTACCTACACTAACCACTAACCATATAATATTAAAATGACTGTATACGCGATCTACAATATTATAGAGTGAAAAAAAAATCATTATCCTACATAGGCGTATTAAAGGCGTCTAATAATCAGATTGCGTACCGCACGCCGGCTCGGGCCGCGCTGAACACGAAAATACGTGTACAGGAAATTGGAAAGAATAATGAAAAAAAATAGCGGTCGGTCACTGGCAGCATGATTCGACCGGGAAACAAATTGAAAACAAGGTCTCTGGGTCGGCGTGTGGAAAACATAACGCGTCGAGCACCGCCGCCGCCGCCGCCGATTCCGAGAGTCGAGGACGACGAAGCCGCAACCGAAGACACGAGCGCGACGGTTATTTAATTTTTCATATTTTTCGTGTTCGTTCGACGAGAGCGCGCGCGCCCGAGGCAGTTAGCCCGCCACGGTTTCACGTGTGGTGTCTGCCGCGGTTCGCGCTCTCCGTTATTGTTTCGCGCACAATAATTAATAAAATAAATGTAGGTAATGCCTAAATAATAACACGACCCGTCGCCGTTTTACGTGTACTCCATATTGTATATTATTGTACAAATTATAGACACACAATACTTAATAATAATAATTTAATATTGCTACTATACATATTATTATTATTATTATTTAGACGAGGTGTTTTTTTACCATTCGTTTTTGCCGCGCTACCGTCGCCGCGGCCGTCGTATTCTCTCGGCCGACGATAATAATAATAATAATATAATATTAATATTATAATAACGACTCTTGAGAACATTTATTATTATTCCTAGTGTTCGCGCCACGCACCTGTAGCAGGAGTGCTGGACGACCGTCGCTGTAGTGAGCGCGTGTGTCCCAGTGCAGTTCATGCCGACCACTTTGTAATAATATCGTCGCTGCCGCTGCTGTCGCCGTCGTCCATTTCAATAATAATAATAATAATAATACATATATTGTAACCTCTCGTCTTTACTGACGCGAATCCTACCACTACGTTCGTACGCCGCTGCGTGGAACACACGTGTGCGCGTGTGTATTTAGTCGTCCGTCCGTCTGTGATAATATTTTTTAATCTTTCTTTTTTTTAAACTTTTTTTTTAAGTTTTTTATTCAATTTTATCCACTCACAATTTGGGCCCAAATTACATAAAACGTGAGTCCTAATTATTTTGATTAACAGTACGATAATACTCTGATATATAATATAATATTAATAATATCTGTAAAATAAAATAAAATATATTTTTTATGTAGTGTTTCTTCTCTCCGCAATGTGCTTAATAATAGCGTAAGCTCGCACTGACCGCCAATAGATTTACAGTCAGTATACACCGCTGACTAGTAAACTTATAATGCGAGAAATTAAAAATAAATAAATATTAAAAAGGCACAA